TTGTGGCATCATTGCATTTCCAGGCTCAGAGATGCCCTGACTTTAGGTAGCCTGGCCTGTTTCTCCTGAGACATCCTCGCTACTTTGGGCTCTGAGATGTGGCCCGCTAGGTGACCCAGCCTGCTCGCCTGAGACATCCTCGCAACTGGGTTCCCAGACGGGGCCAGGACCAAACAACCAGTTTGATTACACTGCTGTTATCGCATCGTCCTCCAGGAGGGGATTCAAACGCCCCTGGCCCGAGTGGGCAAATAGCTGGCGCCGAGGCGAGAGCAGGACTTCTGTGTCATTTGGAAGGGCGTCTCAGGCGGGAGCGCTAGGCCGGAATAAATGTTGAAGAAATCTCCAACGAGAGGATAAATATGAAGGCAAGGAGGAGAACCCAGAGTACGATGAGGGGCGAGGAGGGACATGATGAGGAAGAGCATCAGGGGCACGACGACGAGAATGATGATAAAAAGGAGAAGGAGGAACAAAACGGCGAGGAGAGAGAGGAACGGCATGAGGAGGCGGAGGAAAGTGAGGACGATGAGGTTGCGTGGACGGGTAGGCGGCAAGAAACATGATGATGAGGACGGCGACAACAACGACGACGACAGTGATCACGAGACGGGCGCATGCCAATCAGGAACAGGATGACGATGATTCGGAGGACTCGCGAACAAGCTTTGAATCAACGTTGGATTTAACATTTCAGCTGGGGATGCTGGCCCCTGGCTATCACTTATTCATCATGTGTTGCTGCTCCGCGCCCTCCTCCTCCTTGTCCTGGTCCTCCTTCTGCTACTGCCCCTCTTCCATCCCCAATCCTCCCCCCGCTGCTCCTCCAACTCCTGCTCTTTTCTCACGTCTCACTCCCCGTCCTTCTCCTCACTTATTGTTCCTCACTTTCTACGATTGTCCAAGGAATAAGTACAGAGGATCAGGGGGCATAAAAACCACTGTGCATCAGAAGGCAGAGGAAGATAAACAGGAGGATGGATATGATAAAGATGATGGTAGTCGCCATCATGTGGATCTCACTGATGGCGACGATCCACCGATCATGGCGACTGCAATATATGCCAGCGGCATCGGCGCTCACGGTGACGACGACAACGATTGGAATGACGGCTCATGATGTCGATTGCGAGGGTGACTGCGACGGCGGGCATGATGGCGACGGTGATGATGACGATGACGACGACGATGATGACGATGATGTTGACGATGATGATTCTTATGGTGGTGTTGCCGATGACGACGCTGTCGTCGATGATGATGACGAGGGTCCTGATGATGACGACGACGGCGACGACTACGACGACGACGAATCGGATGAACGGGCGGCCGCCCGCCGCGGCAGAAGCGAACGGCCGGCCGAGGCCGCGGCGAACGCCCAAGATCCACACTGTGGCCTCTGCTGAAAGAAGGCCTGCGCTGCAGAGCTCTTCTCAGCAGGGGCGCCCGGGTGCCTCTGCAGAGAGGGCGCGGGTCTGCCTCCGGGATCGTCGGCTGGGCTTGCTGAGACGACGCCCCCCAAATGGAGCTTGTCTCATCAGATCCAGACGACGATCCCAGGGTCAGACCCACTTCCTCTCAGCAGGGGCACCCGGGTGCCCCTGCTGAGAAGACCCCTGCAGCGCAGGCCTCATCTCAGCACAGGCCGCCTTGTAGATCTTAGGCGTTCGCCGCACCACGTCTGCTGAGAACGCGTAGGACGTGGCGAACGCCTAAGACCCAAGGGGCAGGAAGCGCGATCGGAAGCGAAACGCTTTTGGTGTTGGCTGTATCTTCTGCTGAGATACCGATGCCGATCATGGCCCGGTGCCGGTACCGATACCGGCATCGGTACCGGCACCAGCATCGATATCGATACCGGTACCGTCAGGCGCAGCGCCTTTCTTAGCACCAACATCAACACAATCCTTGCGGGAATATGGAGGAAAAGGGGGGAGCGGGGAGGGAACATGAGGACGAGGAGGAGAGCCTGCAAGGAGGAGCAAGAGGGGTTTGGGGGGATATGGAGGAGGCAGCAGCAGGAGGACCAGGACAACGAGGAAGACGAGGCGGAGAAGCAGCACCAACAGACCGATTTATAGCCTCAGTCCAGCATCCCCAACAACGATTTTGAGGCAGGATGGCTCCACATATTGCTGATTTGCCTGCGCCCTTGTCGCCATCACTGTCGTCGTCATTGCTGACATCGTCCTCATTGCCATACTTCTTGCCCTCTCCCCCTCCCGCGCATCCCTCCTGCTCTTTCTCCTCCCACTCCTTTTCCTCCCCCGACTCATTCCATTCCTCATTATCCTCGTCGTTATTATTCCCCCTTCTCTTCTTCTCCTCATTCTCGTCATCGTGCTCCTGCTGCTCTTCCCCTGGTTCTTCTCGCCCCTCGTACTCCTGGTTCTCCTCTTCGCCCTCCAAGTTCTCCTCTCGCTGAAGATGTCAACATGTACTAACTAAGGCATGGCGCCCCCCCGCCTGAGACTTCCTTCCACATGACTCAGAAATCATGCTCTCGCCTCGGCGCCGGCTAACTGTTCCCTCGGGGCAGGGGCGCCTGGGCCCCTACTGGGGCACAATTCGGCATCAGCAGGGTACTGTAACAGGTAGCTTGTGCCTGGCCCCGTCTGACTCCTCCCCCCCACCCCTGGGAGCCCAGTTGTGAGGATGTCCCAGGCAAACTGACCGGACTACCTCGCGCGCTGAATCTCGGAGCGAGCCCAGACTTGCGAGGAGGTCTGAAGCGAAATTGGCCCGACCCCAGAGTTCCGAGGATGGATCAGGCGAATCTGGCCCGAGAACCTCGAGCGCATCATCTCTGAGCCCGGAGTTGCGGGGACGCATCAAGCGAAATTGGCCAAACGACCTCAGGCGCGGCATGTCTGAGCCCAGAGTTGCGAAGACGTCTCAGACGAAATTGGCCAGGCCACCTCAAGTCAGGAGCATCTCGAAGCCCAGAGTTGCGAGGATGTCTCAGGCGAACCGGACAGGACAACCTCGCGCGTCGCAACTTCGAGCCTAGAGTTGTGAGGATGTCTCGGGCGATACGGGCCAGATCACCTCAGGCCACAACAATTCAATTCTGAGACCAGAGTTGCGAGGATGTCTCAGGCGAAATCGGCCAGACCACCTCGCGCGCGGCATCTCTGAACCTGGAGTTGCGAGGATGTATCAGGCGGAACGGGCTGGACCAGCTTAGGTCAGAGTAAATCTGAGCCCGCGCGCGACATCTTGCAGCCCAGAGACGTCGCATGCAAAATCCGCCGGACCACTTCGCACGCGGTCTCTCGGAGCCAAGAGTTGCGAGGACGTGTGAGGCGAGTTTGGCTGGACCACCTCGCGCCTGGCAACTCGGATCCCAGAATTGCGGGCATGCCCTGGGCGACCTGGGCCGGACCAATTCAGGTCAGGGCATATCTAGGCCAAGAGTTGCGAGGATGTCCAGGGCGAATCAGACCAACTCAGGTCAGAGCATTTCCGATCCCAGAGGTGCAAGGATGCCTCTGGCGTAAATGGGCCAGACCACCTCGCGAAAGGTATATCTGAGCCAAGAGTTGTGAGGATGTCTCAAGCGAAATGGGTCGGACCACATCAAGCCAGGACATATATGAGCCCAGAGTTGCGAGGATCCTCAGGCGAGCCGGGCCGCACCTCTTCACGCGCGGCATCTAGGAGCCCAGACTTGCGAAGATGTCTCAGGCTAAATTGACCAGACCACCTCGCGCGCGGCATCTCGCAGAGTTGGGGGGACATCTCAGGCGAGAATGTCTGAAGTAGAATTGTCCAGATCACCTCGCGCGCGGCATGTCTGAGCCTAGAGTCGTGAGGATGTCTAAGGCGAAGCGGGCTGGACCTACTCAGGTTAGGGGCATATCTGAGCCCAGAATTGCGAAGATGGCGAAACGGACCGGACCACTTCGCGCGTGGCATCTTGGATTCCAGAGTTGCGAGGATGTATCAGGCGAAATGGGCCAGGCCATCTTGCCCCCGGCAACGCGGAGCCCAGAGTTGCGACGATCTCTCAACGCAATGTAATGCAGTGCCATGGGAAGTGACGCAACAGAAATGCAATGCCATGCGTTGTAATGCAATGCCATGCAATGCAACGCAAAGGCCCTCCATGCAATGGGAACAGACAGTGGCTTCCACTGCGTGAGATGCGGGATAGAGATAGAGAGGGAAAGGAGGAGCACGGAGGAGGAGGTGTAGTTGTTTTTCCAGAGCTCCCCATGCAGCTTGGCATGAACCACTGTGCAACACCAGTAGCAGGAGGCAGGGCTGGCAACAGGATCAAGCAAACGAAGCGCATTTAGCATGCCAGAAGCTCACTTAGCAGGAAGAGGACGCTTTCGGCGACGGCGGCGGCGACGACGACCGACGACGACGGCCGCCGAAGGCCGCCGAGGCAGGAGGAGGAGGAGGAGGAGGAGGAGGAGGAGAAGGAGGAGGAGAGGAGGAGGAGGAGGAGGAGGAGGAGGAGGAGGAGAGGGAGGAGGAGGTGACAAGGAAGAGTGGGAGGAGGAGGAGGAGGAGGAGGAGGAGGAGGAGGAGAAGGAGGGAGTGGTAGGACGTGACAAGAGGAAGGATGGGGAGGAGGACAGGAGGAGGAAGTGGAGGAGGAGGAGGAGGAGGACGAGGAGGATGACGAGAAGAAAAACAGGACCAGCAGCAGGAGGCGGAGCTGGCAACAGGATCAAGCACATCGGGAGCCCACTTAGCAGAACAGAAGCCCACTTAGCAGGAACACGACTTAAGTCTTCGTCTTCAGTCGGCGTGTTTTTCGTCTTCAGGGTGTTGTTCGTCTTCAGGGCGTTTTTCGTCTTCAGTCGGCGTTGACGAGCCCAGGGCCTGGCAAGGGCCCCCACGGGGC